GGGGCGCAGGGAGGACAGGCCGCTTCCCATCCCAGCCCTGACAGCACTTAAGGATTAAGGGAGGGCTTTAGAGCAAAAAGCTCTGAAGTGGGTAGAAAGACTGTGTAACCAAACCTGGGGGCAGGTTCCCCTCCCACCCCCTCAAAACCAGGCAGGTGCAGCCTTCAAATGCTGCGCTGGCAGCGAAAGGAGCAGCATTTGAAAGAAGCAAGGCACCCAGCCCTGGGCAGGAAGGGGACACGGCTCAGTCAAGGGCCAGCCCTGGGGCACCACTGCTCCCCAGAGGCATTTTCGGAAGGAATGTTAGGCTCCTTGCCTTCCCCCACCTTGCAGGCAGGAGAGGAGCAAGCAAGGGGCAGGTCTCTCCTGCCATCACACCTGAGGGAGAGGCACCTCTTGCTCCCATTGGCAAAACCCGACAAGAGCCAGCCTGCAATTAGGGCTTGCCCCCCTACATCCCCAGGCCTCCATCCCAGCCTAGGAAGAAGAGGGGCAGCAACAGGAGCTCTGTCCTCCAGCTTGCCCCCATGGCAGAGAAGACACACAAGAAGGAGAGACAGCCAAACAAATTTATTAAGAACTTAAAATGATTCATCTTCTAAAACGTGCTCCGCTGCCTGCCCCTGGCGCCAGCAGGGAAGGGTGCCACGGTACCAGACCAGGACCTGCCCCTTGGGCTCCGATTGTCACTGGCCAGGGAGCCGGGGCTCCCCTGGGGATTGTATCTGCCACAGGCTCTCCCAGGGCTGGTGCCTAGAGCAGAACCAGCCTGTGTTTGCAGCGTCACACAACAGAGAGACAGCTACAGCATCCACCTGCCTGGGTGCACCAGTCCAAGTGTCCTCACACACATACACCCACACATTTTTTTGCCCTGCAGGCCAGCTCCCACCTTACCCGCAGGAAGGTCCTGTGCTGCGCTCCTGGGCAAGGTATCAGCTCTGGTGGAGGATGGTTGAGGGTCCTGCAGGCTATCAGAGCCCTGAGCGATGGGGAAGGGGAGGCACAGGCTCCAGCAGTGCCTCCTTATCCCACCCCTCTCCTCTCCGAGGAGAGATCACCTGCACCTCTGGTCCCCCCTCGTGCTCAGCATCGGTGGCTGGAAACCCCCTGAGGTAAAGGGCATGTAGTGGAGGTAGGGAAGGAAAACAGCAATGTGAGAATTATCAAAGAGGGGGAGGGAAGGGTCCCTGCCCACCAGCTGAGGCCCCCCCTAGTGCCCCGGTGCACCCGCTGCCCTGCTCAGTGCCACCAGGCTCAAGGGTGGATGGGAACCTGGGGGGACTGCGTGGGTGCTGGTGCCTGGCTAGCTCTGCGCTCCAGGGCCAGCTGCATGCTCCAGATGCTAAGGGGCCGCATGTAAGCCAACGAGCGGTAGACTTTCTTCTCCCGATAGGCCTCCGGTGTCTGGAAAGCCATGCCCAGCCGTTCCCAAACTGTCCGGTAGCAGCCCTCCGCCGTATGAAAGCCTTCTTCAACCAGCCCCTGCAGCAGAGGGAAGACAACCATCAGCCCACAGAGTGCAAGGAGATGGCACATGCCGAGGGGTGCAGCATCATCACTCACCTCCTGGATCATGGTGGCAGCCAAGGCGTAGACCACGCCGATCCACACTTCATCAGACTGCACACTGGAGGTGTCGGGCACCCCGTTGGGCCTCATGCCATTCACCGCTCCCATGGTGCCACCAGCAAAGCTCATGACGTTCTTCTCAAAGATGGTCTTGAGTGCACTGACAACATGACTCTTGGGGAAGACCTGTGTAGAGAGAGAGAGGGCTTTGGGCTCAGGCAGATGCCTCAGGCTGCGTCTCCAGGGAGCAGGGTTAAGTTTTCCATTACAAAGAGGTCTATGCTGCTTGCTGGGAAAATAGCCACCTACAGGAAAATAACAGGAGGAAGTAAAAAAGCAGTTGCTCAACAGAAGAGCTGCTGAACTTCATTCTACCTTCCTCCTAGGGAGGCTGATAGCTCATCCAACTAGTATGTATCCATAAACAGCCTCTCACCTTCAGTCACTGGCCAAACCCTGCCACATCTCTTGGGATTTTGCTTTGGACACCTGGCCAACCACACCATCCTCATCTTGGTTTATGTTCACCACTGCTCATTTCTCAGGGTAACAACTATTTGAGGCCCAGATTTTCTCCTGGTAAAACTACTGTGCTGTTCTCTCAGTCCATCTGCACCAGCTAAAAGAGGCACTGCAATGACTACAAGAGATGGGACACTGGTCAGAGGTGGCCAAAGGATGGTCTGGGATCAGTGAGGCTGGAGGTATCTTCCTGCCAAAGGGAAAGATTATTGCAAAGCCAGTCTGATGACATCAGAATGCATCTTGCAGCTGAAATGTGGATACCAGTAAGTTTGTTTGGGTAAATGCTGGGAATCTTGAGGGGAAAAAAAAAAGTCAACTTCAGAGAAACAAAAACAGAGCTTAGTTTGGAGTGATTTCAAAAGGACTTTAATCCTTCCAATTTTAAACTGGGTGGTGATGCAAGGGTTTGTGGCCTGGACCAAGGGGAGTATGAAGTGAGAGAACGGGCAGCCTGGGGATGAAGAGGTCAGACTGAGATGCACAAGATTCCTGATGGTTTTCTGTGTCTGGTAGGAGAGATTTGAAACTTTTATTGCAAGTGAAAGTTAAAGACTTGCAGAAGGTCAATAGTGCTCGCTGGATAAACAGCCGTTTCACAACATTATCAGGAGGAAGTAAAAACCTTCCCTCTCCGATAAGGGGGAAAAAAAAGCTGTTCAAAAAACTAAGGCCAAGAGCTCAAAACAGTTATGAGAACAGACTGAAGTATCATGCTGAGTACATTCTTGCCAAAAGAAAAAAAAAAACATACAAACCGCAAACTCCTCCAAAAAAACCAAAGCAAAAACACAAAAAACCCCACCTGAGCATGTAAACACCTGCCAGCCAAACAAAAAGCAGTGGAGCAGCAACAGCAAGGACTGCATTGAGATGAAAAACCTCTGTGCACTGCTGAAAGTAAATACAGCTTTTGCACTGCTTTCATTATTGACAAAAAAACTAGGAAGTTGCAACAGAAGTCACCGCCTTCTTGAGAAAAGCAAAGCTCCAGACTCAGTAACATCGCAAGGGGAGGGCTGGCTCATCTCCATCCCACATCCACCTAACGGTGAGAAAGCCATAACAAGAACTTTGCAGGGTGACCAAGATCAGAAGCGATGTCACGGAGCAACCATGACATCTACTTGCAAGAAAGGGAAGACGCGGGCAGCTCCCAGCTCATCAGCACAGCCCAGGGATGTGCCAGAACTTTCTTACCAGTCTGGTGCCACCAGAGCCAAGGGAAGCAGGAGGTATGATGACACCAGACGGAAGCTTGCCAAGGTAGACTGGGCAGCCCAACCAGACAGCTTTGGCAGACTCGAAGGAAAGGCAGCAGATCCTTTTTGTCTACACTAAAGCCAAGCATCCGACAGAGTCATTTTTCCTGGTGTGGCTCTGGAGATAAGCCCAAGTGCTGTTAGGGAGCAGGAGTCAGCAGAGGGGTGGCGCAAAGCAGCCATCTCTGGCAGAAGGTTTTGGGGCACAGCTTCTTCAGGACTGGGGTCACAGGCTTTTCCTACTTTGTATTTCATTACTGACCTGTGCAGGCAGCAGGAGTGTGTTTATAAGGTTACAAACAGGAGTGCTGCCAGCCAGGCAAGGGATCAAAACGCACACAAGAAAACCTCAATGGTCATAGTAACAGAAGAGAGAAGTTCACCAGTCCCATCTCCAGTGAGCTCAAAGCTCACCAGCCAGCAGAGAAGAGTGCCACCTTCAGCAACAAAAGTCTGAGGCTATGGAAAGGCAAGCGAGATTTTTGGACTGCACCGGGTTCACTGTTTCCCCCGCAAAAGGGATGTTTGGGTATTTCTGCATGAGGTCTGGGCCAGATCCCGTCTGGAGCCCCAGGCACAGCCCCAGTCCCCACACTCTAGGGACCCACACTGGGATAAATGCAGGAGGGCACAACCAAGCGCCCATTTCTTGTTAAATCCCACAGCGTTCAGCACAAGCTGCTCCCAGGAAAGGTCACCTGAAGCTCCCCTCTGGTACCAACAGACAGTGAAATGGGCCATCACCCTCACACAGCCAAGAGTCATTCCTTCCTTCAGTCAGCCAAAGCGTTTGCCTGTCCATCACCACCACAGAGAGCTTTGGTCTGACAACTGTCTATGGGTCATAAGTAATCCATACGATGGCTCTCCACTTCCCAGCTCTGTTCCAGGTATTGCACCACCAGCAGCTACTCTTACCATCCCACCAGACAAGAGGAGTCTTCAGCAAATTCTCTTGCAACTGAAGAGCAACAGACTTTAAGGCCCCAAATAAGCCTTAGTTCCCTTGGATATTCATTTAGGACTTTAAGCTAGGCAGCAAATAACACATGGGAAGTTTCATACACTTTTTTCTCCTGTTTTTAAACAAATAGCACCGTGCCGAGAGCAAACCCCAGTGGGACCCTCCTCCAAGTGTGCAAGAGCTGACCACAGTTACACATCCCTGCTGCATGGCCTCTCCATGAGCAGATTTTGGTTTAAGGCGGGTTGCACTGATGTGCATCCAACAGCCTCCACCTGAGCATGCACCGCTGCAGGGGAGTGGGCTGGAGCTCCCAAACCAGCCCCCAACACTTAACCCACACCATGTGCCAGCCCTGCTGCTCTCCTCCAGGCGCAGGTCCCGTCTCACCCCACCCTGCACCAGGCTGCCCCTTCTCTTACCTCAAACTCCCCTTGGTCCAGACCACAAGCCCCGAGAAACCACTGCCCAGCACACTGGTCTGACATGATGCTGCTGGAGGTGTCACTCCCACTGCTATCATAGTTGTAGTATTTTCCTGGAAAAAAGGCAGGAAACAGTTTTAAGTCCATAGTTTAAGACCCTGGCTCATGTGTCCTGTCCCTACGCTCCACCCCATGAGGCAGGAGCATGGCACCTTTTTCCAGAAGGCTCTCCCCTCTTTCCTTTCCCAAACCACCATACCTTTTCTGTTCCCTCCCTGGTACCTGCTCCTTCCCCTCTGCTTGGAGGGACGGCATCTCCCCTCCTTCCCCCATCGCCTGCAAGGCTCCGTGACCCAAGGAGGAGCCGTCCCTCTCCCAAGGGACACACGGCCAGCCAAGCATGGTTCCCCACCGGCAAGCACCCACCATTCCAAAGCATCCTCTCAAATGCCTCCTTGCCCTTGCTCAGTATGTCCGTGTATTTCTGCCGGATCTCAGCATCCCCGAGCACCTCCGCCATCTTGCACATCATGCAGACAGCTGCCAGCCACAGCCCGCCGCAGTACGCGCTGCCGGAGCAAAAGGAGAGCAGTGTCGGCAACGTGGGACACCCCACGGGTTGCACAGGGCTCCCACAAGAGATGGGTACCACGGTCCCAGCTCTGAGCTGCCTCCCCACCCTGCGCTCCCCATCTCCCCCCCCCACCTGCCTCTCTTGCTCACCTGGCGCCATTTACCACCCATGCATCGTATGTCTGGTCAGCAAAGCCACCATTTTCGATGAGCCCATCATTATCTGTATCAAACTTGAGCTCCGACTCCATTACAGCCTGTGGGAGAGGCAGGAGATGGCCACACAGCCCCTGCATCCCGGCTGCCCCTCACGCTCTGCTCAGGAGCATCCGTCCTCTTGGGATGTCGCACGGCTCCCAAGGGAAGTGAGAAGGGGGAGATGCCCCACGTTCTGATGTCCTCCCAGTACCTGGCAGACTGGCCACATGTCCCGCAAGTACACGGAGTCTTGTGTCAGGCAGTAGTCACGGTACACCTGCAGCACAAACTTCAGGTTGAGGTCCTTCCAGTCAGCCGTGTCGTGCATCAGGTAGGCATTGACACGCTGCCACGGCTCGTCACCTAAGCAAGGACAGAGCGGATGCAGCAGGGCAGCAAGCAACAGATGTCCCCTCTCCTACCCAGGAGCAAGGTCCCAAGGGTGCTGTGACCAAACAGTGCTAAAATCACATGTTGCACCCTGTGCCGTCTCTAGCGAGAGCAGCCTTCCTGCTACTGCTCGGCTTCCCTCCATCTCCCTCGTACAAGCTCCATGCAGCATGGTCTCCATCACCATCCCAAACCATCCAAGCTTTTCATTCCCAGAAAACAAATAGTGTATTCCATGCACCATACCTCTTTCCCACAGCTTGGGAGTTAACTATCCTGAGAAAGTTGTGTGAGCAGCCCTGCACCCCCTTTGCCCCCCAGCAGGCCCAGCCAGACCCCTCACCTGGGTCCCCAATGTCATGTGGCACCACGTTCTTCAGCTTCACCTGGGCTGTCTGACCACACATCAAGTACTGCCGGGGCTGGACGTCCTCATTCACCACTGTGACAGCTGGAGAGGACACAGAGCAAGAGGCATTAGAAAGGCAGCAGGCACTGCAACAGCGAGCTCCAAGCACAGGCACAGGCAGGGCCACCGGCACCAGCATGCCAGGCTGCCCTTGGGGCTCCGGCTGCAAGACCACAGCCCTCTGCAAAGGGCTGAGGGGACACCAGGCTGCTCCCAGTCTCCCCTCAGCAGGGGACATGCAACTGTCACCACCTCCTTAAGCAAGGTGGTGGCAGCACCCCAGGGCTGGGAGGGAACCCCAAAGGGCTCAGCCCTCCTGCAGCCCAGCAAAGGGCTGTGCTCCACCACTGGTCGGGCCACCACCGAGCAGCCTCCAAGCCCACCCCAAGCATCAGGGTCTGCAAACAGCTTCATGCTTCTCCTCTGCAAGGGGAACGGAGAGAGCTGGCAAGACCAGGGAGTCCCCCAGGGCAGGCAGAGCCAACTGTGCACCCCCAGTGTGGCAAGAAGGCATCCCAGTGCTGGGCAGAGAGATGCTGAGAGGCAGCAACGTTGGGGACTTGCAAGTCCTGGGCCCAGCAGAGGAGCTGGAGGAGGATGCTGGCTCCACGGCACAGATTTCTACGGCAGAGGCAGATGCTGTCCCAAACCCTCCGTCTCTTCCCTAGGTGAAGACATCAGCAGGCATCAAGCCAGGGTCTCCTGGGTCACTCACCAATGTCATACTGCAGGCTGATCTGCAGCTTGGGCCACAGCATGACGAGAGCAAAGGAGGCGTAGAAGTGGACATCATAGGTGTTGTACATCCGGTACTCCTGGCCTGGAAGGAGCGGGGAGATGGTGAGGGGTGGGAGACCTGCCGCAGGGAGGGGAAAGGAGGGGCACGTCCTCCTTCCCACATGGCCCAGGAGGTTGGGCTCTCCATGGCATAGGCAGGGGATCCCATTAGAAGTGGTTTTTATTCTCTGCATAGAGCACCCAGAGGCCTGGAGAAGACCTCATGCCATATCCTATAGGGCTTGGTCCTGCGAGGGGTTTTGCTAGGAACAGTGCTGCTCCTGCCCATCAGGGTGTGAAAAGCAGCCCCACAGCAGGTTAAAAACACCTGGTGACAGCAACGGGAAGGGGTTGAGTTGGGACCATACATCATGTCCCTCCAAGTTACCTTCCAAATAAGCAAACCTTCCGTACTCCCGCAGGACAGGGAGGAGGTGGGAGAGGCCAGCCCCCGCCGGCCCCCGCAGGTCCTCGGCACAGCAGTCCGGGGGCAGCTCCACCCAGATGGTCCCCCCATCCGTCACGAAGTACAGCTCGTTGAAGAGGGCCGACTTGTACCAGGAAGGCAGCTGGCTGCAGGCAAGAGGGGAAGTCAACCACAGCGGCCGAGCTGGTGACGCTCCTGCTCTGACCGGCCCCAGGAGGCCACGGGGAAGGTGCTCCCACCTACCCTACCTGTTCTCCAGGATGGGCTTCTGCCAGGCTTCGATCTTCCTCTCCCACTCCTCGTAGTGCGTCAGGGCATGATGTGACAGGGCAGGAGCGGCATCGCCTCCACTGCCAAAAAAACGGGTGTACCGCCTGCCGAGCAGGGGTTTGGTGAGTGTGCTGCGGGCTCAGGCTGAGAAGCCCACCCGGCCACAGGAGAGGGGCTGGACTATAATGAACACCAGAACAATGCTACTGCTAGTGCAGGGGTATTGAGGAGCAGGGGCTGGGGAGAAGGTCCCCTCTGTAAGCTGGCAGGGACACGGCTGCAGGGAGTAGGAGGCTTCGGGGACATGAGCCAAGCCCCACTGGAGACAAACCACCCACCTGAAGTGCAGCTTCTCCTTAGAGCCAAAGTGAACACGGGGCATGTCCCAAGCCAGGGCCAGCTCCAGCGTCCTGTGACCCTGGGCAGGCACCCTGCAGCTGGCACACACCGCTGCTGCCGTCACCTCCCCCTTCTCCGTCGGCCTACTTTCACCTGTCAGGGGGGAAAAAAAAAAAAATATTCACAAGTGGCCAAGGAAGCCCTATGGAGGGGTGACTGATGCTCCCATGCACCCCGAGGGGGACGAGACTATTTGGGCATGCCCCAGCCCCCTTGCAACGTGGAGGGTACATCCCTGGGGTTTTAAGGGATGACATTACCGCACGTGAGTAACTGCTTTTTGCAAGCAGGAAAAAGATACCTGCCATGGGCGGAGGGGTTAAAAAAATAAGTCATCAAAGCAGAGGAACAAATCAGGCAGGAAAAGCCACTAGGCACGAACGGAAGGGACAGAGCACCACATGACTTTGTAACTGCACCGCACTCAGTGACACTGTGACTTTCTAGTGACAGTCATTGTTTCCAGCTTTTTGCAGGGTGCTTGAACTGTACCCCTATTTAAAAAAAGCCCTGAGGTGGCTGGATAATTATATGCTGGTTCTGACATGTGTACCAGGTAAACTCATTAAAGCAACAATTTTAACAGAAGCACAGATCCTGGCTATGATAATGCCTGCATGCACGAAGGAAAATCACATCCCAATAGCCTGGAGAGCTCTGAGTGCATTTAGGCAGGAAACTTAGTTTTCCAGAAGTAAATATTTCCGGAAAATAAAAAGCTTTATTTACATAATTTAAGCTTCAAGAAATCTTGCAAAGGCCCAGTGCCAGCATCACTAGTTTGTCAGCATCATCCTTGTTCAAAAGCTGACAGAGCCATTAGGCAAATGGTCACCTTTTATCGCAATAAGAGGTTAGCAGCAAGGGCTGGGAGACGCCACCCTGCTTCAAGGTTTCTGCCAAGGGAGGAAGCAGACAGCTGAGGATGATGCAGAAGTACCACGGGAATACCAGAGACCTTCAGGGAACCGATGTAGTAACAAGAGGACAGCAAGTGATGGCAGCACCAAACACCAAGGACTGCTGAATGCCTGCTAGAACAAATCTGACGGGGCCCAGCTCGCAGATCTGGCAATGGGAACTCAGGGAAGGTGGCTGGGCATCACCCTGGCCACTCAGCAGAAATCTCAACTCAGCACACAACCCTACACAGACCAACAAGATACTGGCATGTGCAATTAATATAGCCGAGAACAGCCCCAAAGTGGTGCGAACAGCTTTTGGAGAACCACAACGAGGACAGTGTGGCAAGCCATGGGAAATTCAGATACAGCCTAACACTGGGAATGAGCCACAGCATCACCAAGACCTTTTTGCGATGGCACCGAGGTGGCCAGAGGAAGGGAAACCTGCCCTTGGCTTGGGTGCCCTGTGACCAGCGTGGCCACCCTGCTCCCCCTCCACCCATCCCACGGAGGACGGAGGGACTCACCGGCGGGGGAATCCAGCCTGCCGTCCTGCAGGAGGTCCTGCCACACCTCTCTACCCGATCCCGTGGGATTGAATGCTGTGAGGTGGGTGACTCTCGTGCCAGCCTGGGGAAAGGAAGAGCATCATCAGGGGCTGGTACTTTTGAGGGGCAAATGCAGGCCCCCACCCCACCCCCAACAACATTGGGACCTCACACTCACTCCTCGCATGCTGCCCAGCAATGCTAACTCCAAACCTACTCACCTGCTCTCCTGCAAGCTTCACCCATGGCTTCTCTCCTGGCATACACCCCCAAAGAGGGTGCCCTCAGGGAAGTCACATCCCCACTCCTGCTCCAGCGGTCAGGCAAGCGCTGAGGACCGGTGCCGACCCCAACCCATCGCACACCCATCATTTACCAGCTGCCTGGAAGCAGCCCTCCCCCCATTCAGCAGGGCTGTACAACCCCCTCCAGCAGGGAGCACACCACTGGTGCCAGCCCTTTACCTTCTCCCGGGCAGAGATGGCGAGGGTGAAGGGGTTCACACGTGTGCAGTGGTGCAGCAGGACTCCAGCAACGCGCTCGCCCTCCTTCTCGAAGGCAAAGGGCTCGTTCCAGTGCCCTCCACTTCTGTCCTCCTTCGTTCCCGTGCCGTTCTGCAGGCTGAACATGATGGAGACGTCCACGTCCTCATCCCTCCCATTCTCCACCTCCCAGATGAACACTCCCACCGGCAGGCTGGAGTCCTGGCAGAGACAGACAACGCTGTTTATAGGGCTGGTGCTCCATGGTTAGCTGTCGGAGCATCACTTTTCCCCGCTGCTGGGGATACCACGCGGGAGGCAGCGGGAGCAAGAGCACCAGGAACAACTCGGTCTTGGAGTCCGTTGCCAAGCTGGGGAGCAGCAGCGGGAGCAGAGGAATTTGGGGGCAGGCAGTATAGAATTCAGATCACAAGCCCTGGGCTAGCAAATCCCATACTGGGCAATACATAGACGGAAAGTAGCGTTTAAGGCTCAGACGGGTGTCTCATCACCCATCTGCTCAACAGGTTGATACAGGCTCACGTGCTTCGCTGGGGTAAGAGGAAGGTCAGGCGTGTCGGCAGTGCAGCCTGCCACCCTCGCCCGGGGCTGGGAGCAAGCAGGAGCAGTGTGCAGGAGCAACAGGGCATCCCTTGCTGCCATCCCGAGCTTCCGCATTGCTGCGGGGGTTCCTCCTACCGGGAAGCATTGCTGAGTGGAGACACGGGGAAATGTTGGGAAAGCCCAGCTAATAAGCAGCTCTTCCCTTGGGGATGGCAGGCAAAAGCCAGCTACAACACTCTCGGGAACACCCAGCCAATAAACCAACCCACAAGTACAGGCTGAGGGTTTCCCAAAATGCTGCCACCACGTGCTCCAGGCAGTAAGGCCGCTGCTCTGGACCTGCAATTCCGAGTGGACGGGAGCCAGGATGGTCACAGGACAAAACCAAAGACAGGGAACAAGCAGTACAAAGAGTCAAAAGCACAGGTCAGAGAGGAAAGGAGCAGCTGCCAGAGCTAAGCACAAGGAAAAAGGGACAACCTTTCCAGCACCAACTGCCCCAGGAGGGGCAAAGCCTTCCAGGGTCCCGCTGCTACACACCTGGCAGCTGGCACTAGGGACAGGGTCTTAGGACAGACTAGACCAGGCTGGGAAAGAACATTAACAAGGTGGCAAGCCTGGTTGTCTTAAGGCAATGCTGAGCCGGGCAGGAGGGACAAGGAACTCCTCTACTGCAGCATCCCTGGACCCATGGGCAATGCTCAGGGGTCAAAAACTCACCAGCTCCAAGCCTCTGATACCCAAATGGGATGCAACTGAGCTCAGCCAGTCAAGGGCCTGTCCTGGGAGCACCTCACAGGACAGCCCCGTCTCTGGTGTGCCAATCCTTTCCTCGCCGCCATGCCGGCAGCTCTGCCAAATCCCTGCCAACCTGCTCCATACGAGCCGTGCTGCTGCAGCACGGTATGGCCCGGCACTCCCACGGGACAGGCTGCAACCAGTGTGGGGCCATCGCCTCCTTACCTTATAGTCATGGGGGATGACAGGAGAGACCTGGCGGCACGTGAGCACCACGTTTTGCCCCGGGAGCTCGTAGACCATCCAGGCACGGGGGTACAGGGCATGGTAGAAGGCATAGTGGCCACAGTAGCCCCAGTTCCAGCCCTGCAGAGTGCTAGGTCTCTCCACGGACAGGACCTGCTGGTAAACCGTCTGCCCCTTGCAACGCAGGCACACCGTGAACTGGGGAGAAGATGAGCACATAGATGGGATGGGATGAGCCCGAGAGCAGAGCCCCCAACCGCCCAGGCTGCTGCAGTGCTGCTCGCACCCCTCGCAGACCCTGCCGCACCTACCTGGTCGGCGATGACCGTTTCGTAGTGATAAATGCCAGGGTTCAGCTGCCAGCGGCAGAACTCGCCCCGCCAGCCACGGGTGATGGTGCCTCCCCCGATCCCGCCCAGCGGGCACCCTGGCAAAGACACCTGAAATTAGCACCCCTGCTCCTCCCTGTCACGGGGTCTGGCCCAAGGACCCCTTCCATGCAGCTCTGGGGGCCCCTTGGCACTGCCCACACCCCAGAGCTCCTTGACGCACTCCCCGCCTCTAGGGCATTGCACCACCCCAGTGCCCAAACTGGAGGCTGACCATAGATCTGCTGCAGAGGAACGGCACACAAGAGGTCAATGAAGGCAGATTTCTTCTCTATGCGTGTCTTCTTGTACCACCACCTGAAGTATCTGCAAAGGAAAGAGAGGTATGAAATAAGACGGGAGCAGGCGTCACTGTCCCTTCAGTGTCACTGGGCAGGACATGACCAGCACACGTTGCAGCTGCCCCTCTTGTAGATATGTACAACGGGAACCTGTGTCCCAGGGCACATGGGGTGGCAGCCCCTGCCATCCATCTGCAGTGCCTATCAGCCAGCTCGGGGCTGCCTGCAAGGGCACAGCACAAAAACAGAGCGCTCCAACACCCGAGAGCAGGGCTCCCAGCTTGTGCAGGGGCAGGAGGCTTTCCCAGATGCCCATGGAGAAGTGGCAATACACGCAAGGACCACCTCCATGCCTGGTAGAGCACATCCTGCTAAGGAAGGTCTGGGAGTGGAGGCACAAGCCCAGGGAAGCCATAAGCTGCTCCGGGGACGTGAACCTTGCTCTTCCACCTTCACGTCCCCATTGTCACATCCCTGGGGGCAGATGGCACAGGGCAGCCTTGCCCTGGAAGAGACGATGCTTGCTGTCTGCAGCTGGCAGGATCCCAGGGACTCACCTCCGCTCGCACGCCAGCTGCGCAGCCAGGCACTGCCCATCAAGTAATTTCTCACCCAAAGGCCTGGGAATCGAGAGACACCCAAACAGGGGCACACCTGCACCTGGGTGTGCCGGCACCACTCCAGGCAAGAGGAGCAGGGCTGGGTTCCAAGTTGGCGCTTGTAAAGGACTGGCTTTTGCTAATGAACCGCCGCAAGTTAAATCTTCCATACGGAGACAATTAGCATACGGAAACCAGCTACCAGACCAGAAGAAGCTGCTGAACTTCCCCCAGCGAACAGACAGGCAAGACCCAACTGGCAGCTCCACAGCCCTGGGTGCCAGGTGGGCCATGTCTCTGAGCTACCTGCAGGCACCGACGCCGTACTGCCGAGAGGAGAAAGCCACCCCCAGCCGGGAGCACACAGCCTGTATCACTCCGATGGCCCGCGGGATGCAGAGCCCAGGCGATGGGCGAGCACTAATCCCCTGGGACATGTACCTCCAGCTTCACAAGGACAGGGGCAGCAAGGGAGAGAGGCTCTTCCACGACACCCCCTGCTCCTACACATTCCTCCCCAGCAAAAAACCCTCACACTTGCCTTTTCAGCTGCATGGTCACTGGACGTTCACTTTTATTCACCAACATCTAAGGTCCCCAAAACCCTCTCGGGGTGAGGTTTTCCAGGTTGCAGTCTTACAGGACCTGATCACAGCCTGCTCTCCATTCCTATGTACTCACCTTCATGTTTGACTGATTAAGGACATTTTGCCTGCAGAGGTCCGGGGCACCATGAGAACCAGCCTGTCCTGCACGACTGCCCTGAATCAGGGCCTGCTGCTATCTTCGAGCTACATCTGCTGCAACTGCTCTTCTCCCAGCTGAGACAGCGCCGGCTTTATGCTGCCGAGGCAAGGTTTTGGCAGTGTGCTCTCTCTCTCTCTCAAGGAAATGATTTTATTTTTTTTTAACCCAGCGTCAGGAAACCAACCCAGCTGCTTCCCCAGCAGGTTTCTGGCAATGGGAAATAAGGTGCCCAGGCTGCAGCATGGCCCACCAGTGCATCCTGGCTCCTTGGAAAGGAGGTGATGGAGGGATTTCAAAAAGCAGTTTTTCCAGGAGCACGCAGCAGGAGAGGTTTGGGTTCCACAGCCAGCCACTGCCCAAGCCATTTTGCCATCTCAATAGCAAACTCTTCCCCTGCCAGCTTCTCCCCACATGGTGCAGGCCAAGAGGAGGTGGTGGTCGATGCCCAATTGCTGCCTATTAACAGCTCTCCCAGAGCTGCAGAATAACCAGGAGAAAGTCTTCGCGTTCTGCAGCACCAAAAGCCCTGCCAGGGCCGGAGGGCATTTCTTTCCCTTAGAGTTGGCAGCACAATTAAAACTTGTCTGGACATCACCCAGCCGTTCCGGATCTGTGCCGGGACCCCCTCCCAGGGCACACCAGCCACCTCTGTGGAAACCTGCCTGCACCTCTTCTCCTGCCCTGCCAGCCCCACCACAGACATGTTTGTGGCTGTGCGTGTCCCCACAAAGATGTTATCCTGATGAGTCCCGATTAACAAAAATCCCACCCCAGGGCTGTCGACACTCCCGGCCATGTCACCTGCAGCAGGGGCTGGGGCTGCAGGAGAGGACACCCATCATCCAGAAGTTTAACTCAACACGACACCACGTCAACCCAGGATGTGGTGGCTCCTCTGCAGGTCCTAGACTTCCTCGGCCGAAGAGGTGCAGCAACCCCAAGGCGCTTCCAGCCATCTCGGGAGGTACGAGCACCTGCACCAGGTGACTTTGCACTTGATGCACCAAGCCATGCCAGATTTTGAGCGCACCCCTGGCATGGGTGTCCCTAAGAGAGGGGCTGCTGCTCATCACGGGTCATCTGGGAGGGGGCACGCCAACCTGCGGGGCTCCAGAGGTTCAGATCCACGTGCTGTGCCGTGGGACTGAGCTCCAGGCTCTTCTTGCAGCACCAGCACCCAGGTTTCCATCAGCTGGCTGCCTCCGCTGGGCAGACATGCAGGTGCCCACGAACGCCAGGAGCACGCAGCCTCCCACACATCCTTGCATCCCTGCATTAGCTGCCCTTCACCAGCCAACACCGCTGCCCTCGAGTTTTAATTCAAACCCACACAAGTATTTCTCACCGCCCTGGCTCTTCCTCTCCCCTGCTCTCTAGGCTGGACTCTCCTTGCAAGGAAGCTTTGCCCTGCACAAGTATTTTGAGATCACAACCAAATTACCTCCTAAATTTGTACAGGGGAAGAGGCAGTAGTTTGACTGTTAGCTCCTTGCTTTTGAACCTTAAAACCTTTTTCTAGGACCGATGCAAGCCGCTTCCATCCTGAGACCCCAGTGAGAACAGGCCAGGAGTGGCCTCCCCAGGCTGGCATGGAGGTGATCACCTCTCCCCCCCGCTCACCCCACCAGAACTTCACGCCTTCCCACAGCTCAGCTCATCCCCAACCTGGCTTTTCCAGCAGCCTTTATCTCCCGCACACGACCCAGGCTCTCCCTTCCCTGATGCCCAGGCTCATGCCAGGGATGTCTCAGGTCAGACCGGCATGCCACGCACCCCAAAGCGGTCCACTATCTGCCCCTTCATCAGGCTTTGCAAGAACCAGCTCTGCAAGCAGCAGCCTCCAAGGACATCGAGCAGGAAAAGGCTCAGAAAATGGAGGCAGGAGATATAAAGCAAGAATAAGGAAATAAATGACACCGTCATGGGTTTCAACGTTCAGCCTGATGGGTACACAAACACGGCCAGCACACGGGCAGCAGTTGTAAAGGTTAAAATAACACTGTTGTTTCCCACACGCGTTTCTCCCGGTTACTTCCAGCTCACCCTAACGCAAAGCCGCGAGAAGCCCGCATTCCCAAACCTGCTACAGCGCACGGCATTTCAAAAATCCTCCCAATTAACCTCGAGTTTAATCTCCATCTGCCGAGAGCTGCCTTGTGCAAGGGGCCGAGCACCTGACGCTGGCCGGGAAGACGCGGCAGCGACGGGCACCAGCAGCAAGCCCCGGGGGTGGGAGATGCCGGTCTCCCCTCCGCCCCCCAGAAGCGATGCCCCAAGCCCTCCCAGCTCCCGCTCGGTTTTGGGGAGCCCGAGCGCTGGGTGCTGCCCCTAAGCCAGCCTCGGCCAGTCTACACCGGTGCTCCCGGTGCTGGCGCCAGGCGGGCGGGTGCCGGCAGCTCGGGGCGGGAGGAGAGCGGCTCCCTCCGGCCCGGGGCTTTCCGTGATCCGCCGTACTCTGC